ACCAGCCTTGCCAACATGGTAAAACCCCATCTCTTCTAAAAATACAAAAAAATTAGCTGGGCGTGGTGGCGCATGCCTGTAATCCCAGCTACTCAGGAGGCTGAGGCAGGGGAATCGCTTGAATCCAGGAGGGGAAGTTGCAGTGAGCCCAGATAGCGCCACTGCACTCCAGCCTGGGTGCAACACCAAAAAACAATATCCACTGGATTCACGGCTCTGGGGGGGACTGCTGACCACAGCAAGACACGTTTTGGGGGTGCAGTGGGGTTGGATGCCAGGTGGTTGCAGGTGGGTCATGGAAACCTGTGGATGAAGAGCCAGGCGCTGGGGAGGGAAGGTGGGACTTGGTGCCAGGGGGTGCATCAGGCAATTCTTGAACCCTCTGGTCCCTCCCTGCTGTCCCCGCAGGTCCGTAGTGATGCTGGAGATTGACAACCGGCTCTGCCTGCAGTCGCCTGAGAATGATCACTGCTTCCCCGATGCCCAGAGTGCTGCTGACTACCTGGGAGCGCTGTCAGCAGTGGAGCGCTTGGACTTCCCGTACCCACTGCGGGACGTGCGGGGTGCGACCCGGTCTTGGGGAGGGGGTGGCGGGGACCAAGCTGGGGGCAGCCGAAGCCCCGCCCCGATGCCAAAGCCCCACCCTCAACTGAAGCCCCACCCCTTGCTTCCTACTCTTAGGGGAGCCGCTGGAGCCTCCAGAACCCAGCGTCCCGCTGCTGCCTCTGCTAGTGGCGGGTGCCGTCTTGCTGCTGGTCATCCTCGTCCTGGGCGTCATGGTGGCCCGGCGCAAGCGCGAGCACAGCACCCTCTGGTTCCCCGAGGGCTTCTCACTGCACAAGGACGTGGCCGCTGGTCACAAGGGCCGGCGGGAACCCGTGGGCCAAGATGCGCTGGGCATGAAGTGAGAACCCTGCTCACTCCCTGTCCCTGACTACGGGGACCTTGTGAGCCCTGGACCCCGCCTTGACCTGACTCATACCTCTGACCCCACCTCAAATCCTCCTTCCCAGCTGGACACCTCTAGTGTCCCCTCTCACATCCCCTCTTCCCATTGTCTGCCAGGAACATGGCCAAGGGTGAGAGCCTGATGGGGGAGGTGGCCACAGACTGGATGGACACAGAGTGCCCAGAGGCCAAGCGGCTGAAGGTACTGCCCCCTCTTCTGAGCTTTGCCCCCTCCTCTGGCCCCTCCCCTCAGGGTACTGGGTGGGGTCCCCAATGGATGATGGGTGTAATCAGGGGATGTCACCGCTGTCCCCACCTCCCTAGCTCCAGAGAATAGTCACAGCTTTGCAATGCTGTTTTCTTCTTAGTGTGGTTCTGTGACCTCAGAGGGAGGAGGAGATTTGCCACTGGGGCCCCAAGGGTCCCTCTGGGCAGGTGGAAAATCTTTCACTCCGTCCTGCCCCTCCCCAGCCAGGATCCTGCATCCTGGCCAGACTGCACTCTTTTTGGAGGTGTCCCCCAATCCCAGAGAGTGAGTCTGCCTTATCTCTGTCAGTTCCTATTTTGTCCAGCATGGGATTAGCCTGGAAGTGCTCTGAGCCAGTTCTAAGCACCATTTCATGCAGTCATGCCCCTGGGTTCAGTATGAGTCAGCTGTGGCTGCCATTAAAAAATCCCACAGAGGTGGATCACCTGAGGTCAGGAGTTCGAGACCAGCCTGACCAAAATGGTGAAACCCCATCTCTACTAAAAATACAAAAGATTAGCTGGGCATGGTGGTGGGTGCCTGTAATCCCAGCTACT